GAAATCGATTGAAATCAAACTCACACAAAAATATTTGGGCAATATCGAAGTCAATCAAACGTTTGATTTCTGAACACTTGCGTTTTGTAAAACTGTTGTTGAAAATCAGTAACAAGTCTTTCGAGGCTTGAGCTACTTTCAAAGGGGGTAGTCTATGTTCCCTTGATCCCTTGAAAACAGTGTTGAAAATTTCATTTTTCTTCCTTGTTCCCTATTTAATAAATTCCATTTTCCCCCAGACGTATAGACTTTGTTGTCAAAGTTCCCTTTAGTTGTAGAGATACCCTTGTTCCCTCAAATGAATTCCAATAACATATCTTAATTGTTCCCAGCTGGAAATAAAATGATCATGTTCCTTTTGTTCCCCAAACCTTTAACCTTTAACCTTTAACCTTTAACCTTTACCCTTTTACCCTCTTTGGTACATGTAGAACACATGTTTTTTGTGTTTTTGAGACCACATATAAAATGCATCAATGTTTTTGTTTCTGCCCATAACACGATCTTTGTTTAAGTGAATTTATTCACCGAGCACAATTGAATGTAATCCTTTGAAATGACTGCTTAACTTTTAGTTTGGTTGCCAAACTCATTCAAACATAATCTAATGGATTGTCAGGGCAATTTGGTTTGATTTGTTCGATTGAGTTCGATTGGTTTGGAAATCATACATGTATTCACACAATGACAAAGTTCAGTGTTCGATTTTGATTTGTACATGCAATCAAAGGGTTCCTTGAAAGTAAGCCATAAAAGAGGGTTGAATGTGCATGTAAGTTGTCTAAATTTGCATTATTAAAAAAAATGCTAGTCATCTGGTGAAAGGAACAAAAATTAAATAACAATTTTAATGCTTTCTTTTTGAAGACTTGACATGGCTAAAACCAATGCATCAAATTCCCGCAAAAGAATGGCTGGTAAGACATGGGTGATGCCAATTTTAGTCAAAGGTACCAGTGATGACAACAGAAGTGGAACAAAGGCCAACACTGGTCACGGGCAGTTACATACATACACAAATACATAATAACTTTATTTTGATTCAAATTTACAGGGTCAGCTAATTAAAAAAAGCTAATATTTTCAAGGATAATAAACATTGCAAATATAAAAACAAAAAGTACTAACTACTAACAATAATTAATTTTGGCTACCTTATATAT